AACTTCCCATGTGTGAATCAGGCTCCAAAAGACTAATTTTTCCATTATTTTGTATCACTTGAGAAATGGATTTTCTCTTATTTATCTAACTTATTGGTATTTTCGACTTTACAAGATAGATTTGACACATGATTTCTCTAATTTCATAGTCTTGTTAGAACAGCCGCTGTTTGTATCTTATGCCTTCCAGTGATTGATTAGCTTGACGCTTGTGGAATTTTTTTGTTCCGTCTGGCTCCCAATTGAGTCTGGTGAGTTACGGTAAGCAACTTTTCAAAAGAAATTGCTACATCGCATGCATGTTGTCCTACTGGGGGTCCCGCTGACTATAGTTTATTTGAATTCCCCCTCAATTTTATTGGTTCAGCAAAAGACGTGCCCTCAGTCTATGCTGCCTGTTGTCCTCCTATTTTTGAATACTGCACGCTTAAGAAACCAATCACCAATGATATTCGTAATTGTTGTGGGCTGACTGGATTATGCATCAGACAGTGGGAAACGAGAAGACAGGGATATCCTGGACCGACGTGAAGAACCTGACTAGAAGACCTGGATTTCGCGCGTGGATGATCTTTGTTTGATGTCACACAAAATCGAAGGCTTACAAGCCAAAACCGACAAACTGGTCGAAGAAGCAGCCAGCGAAGACAGGACTCCAGGTGAACATAGACAAGACGGAGGCTATGAAAATAACCAACCAACCAACAACAACATCCAGCGCCAATCACCATCAACGGGAGGGATTTGAAAGAGGTTACTTCATTCACTTATCTAGGGAGCATTGTCTCAACTACAGGCAATCGGAACGGACGACGATGTCAAATCGAGCGAGAATCGTGAAGGCGAGAAACACATTCATCAACCTGAAACAACCAATCTGGAAATCTTCGTCACTCAGCCACCATCAACAACAAATTTCGGTCGCATTTTCAATACAAACGTCAAGTCAGTCAATTCTTCTATGCGTATGAGAAACTTAGTGGGTGGGTCACAAAGAATATTTCCAACAAGCCTGTTGCAGACCTTTATCAACAACTGTATTTGCTCTATACTAAAGACCACATGGCTGGGCTGGAAAGAATCACCAACAAGAACAAACTATGGGAACAAACAAAAGAAGAACCAATCGCCAATCAACAAATATGCAGGAGAAAGTGGAGATGGATTGGACACTCGCGGCTCAGGAGGCCACTGGGTGACATCGCGCGCGCATCAGGCCATTGCTCGAGTGGAACCCGAAAAGGAAGCGGCGAGTGGGATTTCCAAGGGTGATATGGAGGTGATTGTGTGAAGAGGAGTTGAAAGCGTATGGACTAACATGGATTCAGGTGAAAAGTACAGCAGAAGGAAGACAGAAGAAGTGGAGACGTGCAGTTGAAGCCCTATATTCCACTAGGAACCCAAGGGAACAGGAATAATAATAAGAAACCTACTGAATGTCTTTAACCTCTTTGTTGTAATAATTACTGACCATACACTAAGTTCATAAAAAATTATGCGAAGGTGAGTCAATTCAAACGAAAATCTTAACTAAGTAATACAGAAAGTCTGATCATACATTCACACAAAGAAATGAATGTTCAAGTCAGTGAAATTTAAACAAGAAAAATTCACTCAATCTGTAGAAGGTTATTCAGTGTCACACACTGAAGATTAAAGGCGAGTTCTAAAAGTCATGAATCAGGAAGATTTATAACTCGGGGAGATGATTTAATTATGGAACTTTAACACTGTTTGTTCTTATAGGCAACACAAATTCGGTGTTTAACTCATTTTGAAGTACACAACCATGGGGAAAAAAGAATCACAGTCTTTTCATCAACAATCACACTGCACCAGTGGTGATGACTAGAATGTTACTGGCAGCCAAGAATAAAAGATCACCAAACCACCTGTGGACAGTTTTACAAAGATATTCATATTTTCAGGCATACATTTTTCAAAAAAGCATGAATACTCCTAAACAATATGTATATATGTGTATAAGACTGCGGCATTGAGGTAGTATATAATTTCATCCTAACTTGTTTATTAGATATATTACCACACAGTGAAGCAGTATTATCTACCAAATAACAAGTTCCAGACCCATAAACTCATTTGTAAAAACAAGCCTTTTCGGTTAAAGGATCGTCTTGTGGAGTCCATCAAACAGAACCATTCAGTTTTACTAATACCCTGCTGCAATGATTGCCAGGTCAAATATATAGGTCAAAGTGTAGTGAGAGCTGTCTGTTAGCCAAAATTGTAGACACCAATTTACGTCAATGCTTATGTCCCAAATCGATGTCATGAGAAAAAACAAAAACAAAGCCTATCCTTAAGGAGCTCAACAACCAATCACAGCTGACTTAGCGTGGGCGGATACTATTAGCAGATATATCAACGGACTGTCTAAGTGTGGTGAGAGCAGGTTGTTAGCCAATTGGTAGACATTAATTTACGTCAATGTCTAGGTCACTAATATTGGCCGTGAGAAAATATGAACAAGACTGATTCAACAACCAATCACGGCAGACTTAACGTGGGCAAATACGATTCGCAGATATATGGCTTAACTTTCTGAGTAACCAGTCACAAGCAGTACGGAATAACCTTGAGCAAGAAACAACAAATCAAAAGACTGTGTTTGTCTGCTTGAATAAGCTACAATAATGTACATGAAATATATATAAGTACGCGTTGGTTTCCGTAATAAAACGATCTGTTGCCTGACCCTTGTCTTCTGTTGTTACATAAGGAACGGCAACAAAGAGATGACAGAATGGCCTTCAGCAAGAAGGCAGCTAATCAGAAGACGTTGCTTGTCTGCTAACAATAACGAATAATAATATACATAAAAATCATATTTATAGATTTTTATGTTGATTTTCTCAATAAACGATCTGTTGCCTGGCCCCATGTCTTTTGTCGATACAAAAAATTAGTACAGGGGTCAGTCAGTCAGACTAGTGGAGCACGAAAACCTAACAAAATCTAAATTAACCGACACTAATAAGTTAAAATATCTGGAGAATAGTTCTGTTATAGAACTACATGCAGTTGCACACAACTATACAATGCGATGGATGGGATAAGATGACAGTGTTACAATCTAATTGATATGTATCCACATATAGATATTTATGTGTGTGTGTGTGCATGTTGGTCTCTCTTTCTGTTTGCTCGGTTAGTCTGTGACCATTTCACTTTGATGAATCTGTTTCCTTTAACAATGTATATTCCCCTTATATTATATATAATATGAGTGTTTGTTGACAGTCCGTTGCTTGGTGACATATATCCATATATGTTTGTTGGCATGTCTGCTATATTCGCTATGTATAATTGGATCGACACTCCATTATAATTAGCCATTCATGTTAAGACTGTCTAATGATTTTTCCCACGCTTGTCTGAATTATTATATATATTCGCATTCACAATTTGTGTGAACTACTTTACTTTACAACTGCTTTACTTACTTACCACTTTGGTGTGAGACCATTTTATTTTCGTCTCCTTGTGTTTGGACAATAGAAGTATCATCGCAAACCTAGTGGTCTTCTGATTTCCGCCTTCTCGCGTCAGGACTATTAGTTTCTCGACCAGTCCAGAACATAATAATTTAGCGACGAGTACATAACAATTTGCGACGGGAAAACTAGTACATATCACTAATGTATCACGATGGAGGGAGAGATTGATAAGGGAAGCTTTATTTATCGAATCAACTACAAACATGTGTAATAGGAATGATTCAACACCTGTCCCAGATATCTGGAAAATTCTACTACCCCTAAGACGATGAATAGGAAAGAATAACGCAAACTGTAAAACTCAAGTTTCCGTATTGTGTGATTATAATTGATATGAATATGAAGAATAATAAATTGTGTTCGAAGCTGTTTCATCCAGTAAAAAAAAATAATACTGTTTCAATGTATGATATGTTCGTCAGTGGTATAGCGGTAGAATGCTCGCCGACCAAGCATATGGTCCGGGGTTCGATCCCCGGCCGACACACTTCCGAACCTAGTTAATCCAGTAATAAGACTGGCGAAGAGGGAAGGTTGGACATGAGGTTAGCAATCCCATCCCGTAAAAATAGACACCACTGCTACCGAAACTTCAAGCCTATAGCTTGTAACCCTATGTTCCATTGGGAACGTTAATGAATAAAATTTTTTTAAACTATGTGATATGCCTCATAAACAAGTTAATACGAAGGTACCCTAAAATAAGCCGACGGAACACCATACTTGAAGTTAGTAAGAAGCTAGTTAACCAATCGGAACATCAATTACTGTAATGCATCATGTTATGAGACTGATATGTATCCACATATATATATATATGTGTATGGTGATCTCTCTTTCTATTTGCTCGCTTAGTCTGTGACCATTTCACTTTGATGAACCTGTCTCCTTTAACAATGTATATTCCCCTTATATTATATATAATATGAGTGTTTGTTGACAGTCCGTTGCTTGGTGACATATATCCATATATGTGTGGTTGTTGACATGTCTGCTATATTTTGCTATGTATATATGGATCGACACTTCATTATAATTAGCCATTCATGTTAACACTGTCTATTGATTTGTTCACACACTTGTCTGGACATTCATATATATTTCGCTCACACAATATTGTGTGACTACTTTGGTGTGATACCACTTTTGCATTCTCCTTGTGTTTGGAAAACAGAAGTATCATCGCAAACCTAGTGGTCTTCTGATTTCCGCCTTCTTGCGTCAGGACTATTAAATTCTCGACCAGAACATAGCAATAATTTGGCGACGAGAAACATAACAGAGACATATCGATTGCTAGACAGCTGATAATGATGAACCCACCTGGTCGTTTATATTGAACCAACGATCTACTTTATCTGAAAATCACGTACTTAAGTCAATGAACCGCACATCCGGACTGTGGGAGAACCGTAGGTGAAATAATAATAATAATAAAAATTTTACATTTTCAGCTATCAATAATCTGTACAGTATGTATAATTAATCGTCAAATACAATACGTTTAGCTTCAGGTGGTGGACCTTTAGTAATATTAACAATTTTTGCTTTTTCTAATCGTTTCGCCTCCCATGACGGATGTAATCCGGGTTTTGTCAACTCAGATGGTAAAGGTGCTGTAGAAACGGGTGGTGTTGTTTTATGCATTTGTAAAGTGTTTGGTTTTAATTTATTTGAGAATTTTGTAGAATCGTGTCTCCTTGGAGTTGGCCTTGAACTGATTGTTGATCCTTTTGTTTGTTTTGAACGCGGATTTTTAAAAGTCTTATTTTTCTATAAGAACAAAAATAAAAAAACAACAACACAAAAATAGAATTTTTAACGTAGAAGTTTGCACAAAAAAGAAGGCAGTAGTAGTAATGTCATCGGTTGCGCAGATATATTGATGGATATGTGGGAAAGCATAGCGATTGAAACATTCACCCCCCCCCAAAAAAAAGTATGATGGAGGTATGTAGATGACATATTCACTGTACTTAGAACACAAGATATAGATACACTTTTCAAACACATCAACTCGAAGGTAGAGGCAATTCAATTTACTTATGAATTGGAAAGTCAGGAAGGGGAACTTCCAATGTTAGATTGTAACGTAAAAAAGGAAAGATGGTGGGAAGTTAAACACACTAGTGTGTGTTTACAGGAAACCTGAACATTCAAACAGATATTTGGACTTAGTTTTTTTTCTAAATTACTTATCTTCTCGGGGTCAACCATTCTTAACTTAGCTAAATTCCTATGTTCCGACAATCTGACTACCCCGATCTACTAGTTTGACCTATGTAGTTGACCTCACAATCATTGCAGGGTATTTTTTAAATTATATTATTTTGTCTAATTGGGTCAACCGACAGGTCCTTTAACCTACACAGCTTGTCTCTGAGTGAGTTTGTAGGTTTAAATGCCACCCTAATTCCCTGCTTTATTTAGAATCCTACGTAGGGTCTCAGATGCCCAAAGATATTTGGACTTCCGATAATCCTATCTTATGTCAGTAAAAATAGGATTTCTGAAATGTTTAAGTGATAGAGCACAAAAACTAAGTAGTACCAAGGAAAATCTAAGATAGGAAGTGATACACATAAAAGAAGCCTTGAAACTTAATAATTACCCGGATAAATTAGTCAAGAAATAAGTAAATGTAAAAGTAAAATAAATAATGATAATAGTGATAGTAATGATAATAATGATATTAATGACGATATGCACAGGATAATGACAGCACCAACAGTAAGGAATCTAAATCATCAATAGTAATTCCATACAAGGAAGGAAACTCGGAAGCCTTACACAGAATTCTTAACAAGGCAGGAATAAAAGTGGCTGACTTTCAAACCAACCACAAACTCAATCAGAAAGAAGCTCCATCGGTTAAAGGATCCTGTCTGTGGAGCCTTTAAAACAAAACAATTTAGTTTATCTAACACCCTGCCTGCAATGATTGTCAGATCAAATACACAGGTCAAAGTACTAGAGCAGGGCTCAGTCAGTCAGACTAGCTGAACATAAAAACCTAGCAAAATCTAGATTGGTTGACCCGAATAAGATAAGAAATCTGGAGAATAGTTCAGCTATAGCACTCACTACATGTAGTTACACACAACCATATAATAGGATGGGATAGGATGACAGTTTTAAAATCTAATGTCATAGGGTGGAGGGAGAGATTTATAACGGAAGCTTTGTTTATCGAGTCAACTGCAAATATGTGTAGCAGGAATGATTCAACACCTGTTCACCCAGATATCTGGAAAATTCTACTAACCCCAACGACGACAAATAGGAGAGGACAAAGAAAACTATAAAACTCAAGTATCGAAGTCGTGTGATTGTGTAACTGATGAAATGATTATGAACCACAATAAATTGTGTTCGAAACGTCATCCAGTAAGTAATAATACTGTTTCACTGACTGTGTGATATATCTAAGAAACAAACTAATATGGAATTACTATCACAGTGCCCAAGTTTTACACATATATCAGTAGTAGTAGTAGTAGTACTTCAACTTGACACACCTGATGAAGCACACATTAAAGATGAAGAAATATAAAGAAAATAAAGGACAACTGAGCGAAGAAAATCTTTTCTTTTATGGATGAAATCATCTTAAGAGGCTGTTCAACAGTGGTATTTATAATTACCAGAAAAACTTATAGTAGTCCATTATTGAGTAATAAGAGGGTGTGACATAACTGATATAATTAATTACTCAGAAGTGGTTCCAAAAGTAAAAGTAAGATTATAAGAATACGTAATACTCAGTGGTACAAAGGAATAAAGCGTTTGAAATAAGATTAAAACTGTTATTGACTGAGAAGAAAGGCAGTTGAGTATGAACTTAGCGAGTGTGACGAGGATGCGAAAATGTACAAAAGGAAAATGTGAGAGTGACAATAGTGAATTAACTATTAAAGTAAAAGCAGCAAACTAAAAGTAAAATTAAAAAATAAAAAAATTTTCAGAGAACGACTAATGAAGACGGGGGTGGGACCACGGTAGAATACGAGATTGGGCAAACTTTTTTCTATTACTGATAGGATCCCACATATTTTGGTATTGACTGTTTAATCTTGCATATATGGTATGTTATCATTCTCACACATTTGGGTATTTACTGTTAATCTTGTATATATGGTATATTATCATTCTCACACATTTTGGTATTGACTGCTAATCTTGTATATATGGTATATTATCATTCCCACACATTTTGTTATTGACTGTCAATCTCGCACATATGGTATATTATCATCTCTCACGCACTTTGTTATTGGCTATTAAGATAAATTATTTCAAATGCTGTTAGCTGTCCATATTGTTGTAAAATGTATAAATACCATGGCTTTCTTTGTCGTTGTGGCACTTCAATACACAGTCACAGTCCAGCCTTTGTCTTTTGACATTTGCGTGCTTTACTAAATCGGAAGGTACGACAAGCAGATAGGCAGATTAGTTCAGGCGCAGACAGAGCAAGGTGAAAACGTCTTCATTCAATTCCCTACAGTTATAACAATACAGAGTTCGGTGTTGTATTGATGAATTGTCAACGTATCTGTCGAACACAAATGCCGAAACCTAACGCAATTTTTACCATTCGGTTTCACCTTGTAGATAATCTTAAAAGACGATCATAGTGGAGCTGAGTGACTTGAGTTCACCAAGTGTTCGTGAATAGACCTAGTAGCTGTCTTGTATTGTCCTCTTGCTGCATAATATACAGAGATGCGTTTGGGAAGTGTACACTTTATGCAGCCAATATAACCAACTCTACAGGAACAAGTGAATTTACAAACACACATTGAAATGGCCTGAAGGGACAGTTTACCTTGTCGACTGTAGAGACTGATCCGCCGCTCAACCGAAAAGAAGGCTTTTCTCTGTGATTTGGATAAGCGGTTCTTCAGAATCTCAGCTGCAGTATCACCCTAAAATTCAACTTTCATAAACAGCAGTTTCTTCTATACCTTTTGGGTTCCTTTAAGCATTTGCTTTCTTTGAAATGCATACTGAAAGGGCATTTAAATAGTAGCTTCATTAAGTAGTGGATCGGAATACCCACGTTCAGATTATTATCCTCGATGAATTTGCATATAAAGCAAATAGTTTCAGTGAGAGGAACATTGGTGAAGAGAAACGTAACATCTAGAGATATCATTTAATTCCTAGACACAATAACATCACAGAGAAAATACAATGAACGTGAAATTATGCAGGAGAAAGAATAATGAGGAATCAGCGAATATGGACGATCACAAAGAGTGACCGCATCTACGCCACTGAGCTGTATCTATCATCAACAGGGCCTTTTACCACTGACTAATTTGTAGAGTCTTGAGCATCCCGATCAGGCAACTGACAGCCCAACAAACAACACATCGACAGACCAAGACTTAATTGACTGATGAAATATTTTGCCTTGAACACCTCTAACTCTTTCCCCACCTAATGTTATGATAACCAGGAGATGACCTGGTATGCATAATACATATCGTAGACGTATCTCAGTCGGTGAAGTTTCACAACCTCATCGATTGATGCCTAACCTCAATACTAACTCGAATGGTTGACTAATCCATACAGAGGATAAGCTTTTGCAGTAGTTGTCCTCTCTGAGCTGCATAGTTTACTTGTGAAATTTCCAAAGTTAAACTAGACAACCCTCTCAGTGCATACTTCAATTTGAAGTAAGCTTTTAAAATTCTCCACGAGTTTATTAGTCAACTCTCCTGGTAACCTTAAACGCGACTCGATGTTTTTCTATATTTCCTCACCTTCTTAATCTACTTTTGTATCGGTGAAGGATTGTTTCCTTGACCTGGACACGTTGACTTTTTGTTCATATAATATCCCTCTTATAGATTGGCAAGTCTTATCTACGCCAATATGTCTGTTGATTGCCATTTCACTCGAGTACGAGGTTTCTTGAAATTCCTGACACTTTTGGAGTTTTCACTGTCTGAGATTTGAACATAATCTCCAACGAACTAGTATCCACGGTTGTCTGCATGCATTGATATGCGGCAGTGGACATCGTGTCTTTTGAAGGCCGATTTATGTTCATGGGTTGCAAAGACGCTGAAGGCGTCCTCTTTGACCAATATAATGTTTTTTACAGTCATTCCAACTTATTTCGTAGATGCTAATGGTCTTTGTCTACTTTCGCTGTTGAGTTTTTTCGTTGACAAAGATCCAAGTGAAGTGATTGTTTCGGTTTGTGAACGACTTCAAAAGGTTGGAATTGTCTCACAGTGATTTAGGAGGTGTTTTTCATATACATGATGGGACAATTTTCATCGTGCTTTTGATTTGATTGGTTGAGTTGAGGGTAGATGTCTTCGGAGAAAATTTCGTGGATATCCACCCAATTTTGGAAGACGACCATAAGATATTTTTCTTGGATTTTCGTCAAAGCAAGAGTGATGCAATGAGTCCTGGCTCTCTTGAAAAATGTTGGTATGCACCCCGTTTTGTGTGCTATTGGGTTGTTGTTGTTGTTATAACTGAGTATTTGGTCTGGGTGGGTCAATATTCTCTACCCTGGAGTTTTTAATTTTCCTGTGTTTATTCGTTTGACTAACAAAGACGTCTAAAAAACATAGAATTCTGTCCTCGAACTCCTCTTCTCTTGTGTTACTGATATCGCTAAAGATGTTGTTGTGAGTGTTGTTTAAGTTGTCTTTCTTCTGATCATCACGAATATGTCATCTATGTAACACAAACACTTTAGGATGTGACCGTTACCTGGTTGAGTGGCAGGTTGACTCAATTCCTTCTATTCACTTCGTACAATGATTACTTCCGATGTGTGAGTATATCATTTATATATTTAAATAAAAGACTAGCTTGGATCTCATCAATCAAGTATGCAGATATTATCATTGAAATTCACATAAAAAGAAAACCAAACAAAATTGACTTACAAATGATTTTCTAACTTCTTTATCATCATCTCCAAGAAGATCATCAAGTTCTTCAAAAAGTGGATCTTCCTTTAACTTTTTAGGCTGATTTTCATCTAAGCTCGGAGATGAAATCTGCTTCTTCTTAACCTGATGTGAAAGTAAACAGATAAACAAAAAAGGAAAGATTTTCAAAACTTGATTTTGCAGGGATTTGATTGGTTACCACAGGATTACATCATGAGCTGTAAACGTTTAAGGGGAACAGTTAAAAAACCTTAGAGTACTGGACAGTCAACTGTTTCGTCCTAGTGCTTAGGACTCCTCAGTAGTAAGTACCCACCGCCAGGGGCCAAACCCAGGAACTTCCGGCTATGAGGCGAGCTCGTAGACCATTAGGCCACCGGGACACAGTCGAATGGCTGATTCACAACATAGAGCTACCACCAGCAAATTTCATCGACTGCTATTCGCCCTCACACCCAACGTGATGTATCCAACTGGTCACAACTTTTCACTAGAATCCAGGCAAATACCTACCTGAATAGACTAACTGATCGAATAGGGACAGTTCCCAATGAGCATCAAATTGATATTCAAGTGTTGGCTCGCAGTAAGGTCCTGGGTTCAAACCCTGGCGGTGGGTGCGTACTGAGGAAGAGACCCTAGCGCTAGGACAAAACAGATGTCCAGTACTCCATAGTGGCTTTCCAGCGGGTCTCTAACCGATGTTAGCTCATGATAAAAAAGAAAGATTATTATGATAATGTGGCGTGTGCTACTGACAACATTTGTGAGTAGTATATAAAGAAGAGACGTTCATCGGTACAAAAATATCAAACAGCGGAGAGATGGATTTCACGTGAATGCAAGAGAGGGAGAGAGAGAGAGAGAAAGAGCCCATGTGAACCAGTTTAGTGCGACAAAAAATTGGGAGACACGAAAAAAGAAGGCAAAGAAACACAACATGAAGGACAGAAGTACAAAACACGGAAGATCTGTGCAAATTGCGTACATAATTTCCCTACATAGAGAGATATCAAATTCCAAATAAACATTCCGTTGCCTAGTCTCTTGTCTTCCATCATCACAATATAATTACACAAAAATGAAACAGCAGAAATTCTAAAAGTATTCAACACGAAAATTTGTGGGTGTGGGTGGGGGAAAATGGGACGCCAATGGACAAATAATTCATGACAACTTCAAATCAATTGAAATTCAATCAATTCACAAAGAATTCTGTTAGCAAGTAAGTTCATCATTAATACCTATCGTTGATACCTACTCTTCTCCAAGACACTTATTCGATATGTACTTGTTTTTGTGATTGTTGAGAAATTATGAAACAATATTGTCGCATAACAGTTGCCTCCTCGATGCCAGCTTATTTAAAATTGAAAACGTTTATTTCCCGATACGAATTTAAAAACAAGCAATAAAGGCTGTTAATAAAGCAGGATTTAATGATGGATTCATCAAATTTCGGTAGAACTCGTCAGCTGAATACTCTACATACACACATATATATACTTTTGAAATTACATTAGGAGATATAAAACTGTTAAGTAAACAAACTACATTGAATTAGTCATGCAGAAAGACACGTGAGAATGTTTTCCAGGTCATGTTCAAATAGATAAGGGGAGAGAGAGAGTATGAGAGATCAAAATTAAGATAAATTGCATTACGCTTCAACTACATCACTTAGATAAACAATTAGTCATTAGGGAATATAACGAGAATTACGCGGTCAAGTCATTCACCATTGTCAGCAGACAAAGAAACATGAAGATGCTTGCAATTGCAGAGGCTTGTGCAATTTGAATTTACAAACCAGCTCTCTGTATACAAAAGGAGATGGTCGTAACTCTTAATCTACCATGGTAATACGTTTTATTCTCTACTTGTTATTATTCTACCTCTTCTTCTCATTACTATTGTTATTATTATTATGATTATTATTATTCTTGATTCATTTAAAACTATGCTTTATTCGTAAGATTATCTTAACTCACTTCAACACTATTAAAACTGTTATTATAACTATTACTATTGATATTAGTCTGTTTGCAATTCTCGTTATATTCCCTAATGACTAATTGTTTATCTAAGTGGTGTAGTTGAAGCGTAATACAATTTATCTCTCATACTCTCTCTCCCCTTATCTATTTGACCATGACCCGGAAAACATTCACACTTGTCTTTATGCATGACTAATTCAATGTAGTTTGTTTACTTATTAGTTTTATATCTCCCAATGTAATTTCAAAAGTATATATATCCGTGTATGTAGAGTATTCAGCTGACGAGTTCTACCGAAATTTGATGAATCCATCATTAAATCCTGCTTTATTAACAGCCTTTATTGCTTGTTTTAAATTCCTATCGGGAAACAAATGTTTTCATTTCCGAATGTACTTTATCTTCCGGTTGAAAGTATTGACTTATCGAAACTTACAAATTCAAGTGGTGATGACATTCGTTTACTATCGATATCGTTAAATATGCAGTTTGTTGCAATTTATTTAAACAATGGTGAATTGTTAATTACAAATACCCGATTTACTGAATTACATTCATATATTGATCTTACACAACGTATATCAGTAATGCTAATGAATAGCAGTGATTCACTTAGTCAACGGTCAAATGAATTGAATCATCCTAAAGCATTATTGTGGTTGACAAATTCAGCTGTCGTTCTCCAGTGGGATAATTTAATCGCGACTGTTGGTGTACAATCGGATATTTATGAAGCATTCTATGCAGATGATATATTCCTATCACAAGAGGTAAGTAATATTTTGAAGCATAGGTTATTTCTTCCTTCTATTCTCACTATTTCTTACTTATGATCAGCAGTTTGGAGCCCGACCGAAAGCTGCTACCTTGACGTGGTGGTCGGGCTTGAACACCGCAATGACCTAATCAAGCTATACTGGCTGAGACTTATGTCTCTTGAGGTTCTACCATGCCAGGCAGGTTGTTTGGATAGCGGTTAAACAAAAAGCAGCTACCCATCCAACATCATGACCAATACAAATTCACAAAATTTCATGCCGGATCGGCCGTGGCCCGGATTAACAACGACCGCGCTTCCTGCTGCCGTGTCACAGGGCAGGAGTGATAAGTATGCTACTGAGGCACACCAAACAAAAGAGAACAAACAAAAACAGGCCGCGTGTGACCGGCCTCAAGCAGTTGTCCCCTGGGCTCTGCGGTCACGCAACCAACTTCCACGGTGTGGGCAGCCGGGAAGTAACAATCGCCCTCACAATCCGAAACGCACACAAAACCTCTCTAATCCTCACTTATCTTTGTCTTCATCTTCATCTCTATTACCTTGCCTTCCTCCCACTGATGCAACTCCTCTACTTGATGGCTCCTCACTCCCTCTTCACTCTGTGTCCACTAAAAACGACGAAAGCCAAAAAACCACCACCGATAGTCTCCTAAAGCCACGCCACCAATTTCATATAGGAGCATTTAATGTTAGGACACTTTGCCAAATAGGACAACAAGCATCACTAGCTAAGACCCTGGCATCTCGAGCCATTGATGTATGTTGTGTTTCAGAAACACGCATACAAGACCCAAGTGTGGTTATTCACCTAACCCCACCTGGCCAACAGGATGAATCTTCAAAATTCACCTTGAGGGTGTCAGGAGATGCCACAGCTAGTTCACGAGGATTAGCTGGCGTAGGGATAGCTTTGAGTACTAGGGCAGAAAAGACATTGCTTGACTGGATCCCAGTAGATAGCCGAATGTGTGCTGTCCGTCTGAACGGATCAGTAAGAAGGAGAAAGGACTGCACTACTCGCCGATGCCTTTTCGTAATCTCCGCCTACGCCCCCACTGACTGCAGTTCGGATGAAACGAAGGATGAGTTCTACCAAAAGCTGTCTAGTTTGGTGAGAAAGGCTAAACGCTCAGATATAGTCGTTCTAGCTGGTGACTTTAACGCTCAAGTAGGGAAATTGTGTCAATCTGAGAAGGATGTCGGTGGCACCTATGGAGTTCCGTGCCAGCGAACCGACAACGGTGACCGTCTCCTACAGTTCTGTTCAGATAATCATTTGTTTCTTGTAAGCACTAACTTTAAACACAAGGAGAGACACTGTTTAACCTGGCGACCCCCATCATCAAACCAACGCTGGACACAAATAGACCACATAGCAATAAGCTATCGTTGGCGTGGGTCGGTAGGAGATTGTCGCTCCTTCTGGAACACGTGTGTAGATACCGATCACGCACTGGTCCGGGCTCGTGTGTGCTTACGACTGAACGGACGTAGGAAACAGCTGGCGGTAAAACCATCACGTCCCCAGCTCGATCAGGAAACTAAATCCCTATTTGAGGAAGAACTAGCTAAACGCATATCTGAATTCGACAGCTGTGCTCACCCTGGAGAAGCCTGGAAGAATATTCAGTCAGCTATAGATACAGCTGTAAAAGCTGTGAATAAGGCAAATCCAAAGGTGAGTAAAAACCACTGGATTTCGACTGCCTCATCCGAACTGATAGATGCTAGAAGACTTATTCCGGCGAGCTCCGAATTCAATGAGGAGCGAAAGCTGCACAAAAGGAAACTTACTAAAAGTCTCCGCAAGGACCGTGAACAGTGGTGGGTGACAAAGGCGAAAGAGATGGAAAAAGCATCGGCGATAGGCAACACTAGGCAACTCTTTAGACTCATCACGAATCGGGTGGGAGAAGGCAATTCATAAGTGAGACTATTTCTGAGAAAAATGGCTCCTTAATTAGCTCTCAGGATAGACGCCTTGAACGCTGGAAAGAACACTTTGAGGAACAATTTAACTTGCCTACAGCCACACTGAACCTCCCCGCCATCCACCACACCCGAATGGGATATAGACACTGGTCCGCCGTCTGTAGTGAGGTTACAAAAGCTATCAGTAATTTGAAACGAGGCAAAGCGGCAGGACCCGACGGAATTATTCCGGAGGTGTTTAAATATGGGGGTGACATACTAGTTTGTAGATTAACTGAGGTACTAGGCAAAGTCTGGGAATCAGAGACAGTACCATCAGACTGGGGTAAGTCACTTATTATACCGATATTCAAGAAGGGAAACAAGTCCTCGTGTGATAATCATAGGGGGATCAGCCTAACGAACATAGTCT